CGTAACATTTTAACGTCTGTCACGTGACATGAGATGATTTGTCCACTGGGTGTTGTATACAATAAGGTTATTTCCAAACAAAGCCTGCAAAAAGCGCTGACGATAAGAGTTAACTGTCAAAACTTAGGTTCGTTGCACAGAACAAATCAGAAACTTACACGATATGCTTAATTGACAGTCAAATCTTGTTTTGTAAAAGAGCAGGAAGTGATGGCGTCAATACTGTAAAACACTACCTCAAAAGGCTGTGGCTGGTTTCCATAACAACCATTTTGAGTAAAACTTTCAAAATTTAATTTCTCTTCTTGAGTGCAATAGCACACAATTGATCTTTCGTCACCATATTTAGCAAACTTTTTGGTCCATTCTAGGGTATCATACCACCTTAACATTTTGTAAAACGACAGTTAAAACGACATTTTACAGCCGGTGTCAAGGAGAAATTATCTGGAACAGGGCTTAGTGTGACTTTTTAAGACTTTTGGAATGGGTTTTCGGTTCAAGATGCTGTTATGTTCGACCATAATTTCCGCCCCTACCCCTTCGCCACGCAGGATTTTGGGAGAACAGCCCCACCAGGAGAAAGGTAGAAATTATTGTAAATGGATATCGAAGGCGAACCTGTTTTTGTTCTGAACGTTCAACATTTGTTCATCCACTTCCTTCATCGACATCTTGCCACGGAACACCGCTGCTACAGTTAGATAGCGTCCATGCCTCGGGTCACAAGCAGCCATCATGTTCTTGGAATCAAACATCTGCTGAGTCAACTCCGGGACTGTTAGCGCGCGGTAATGCTGTGAGCCGCGACTGGTCAGCGGTGCAAACCCTGGCATGAAGAAATGGAGGCGGGGGAATGGGACCATGTTCACAGCTAGCTTCCTGAGATCTGCATTCAACTGAAATTGGAAGAAGATTTTGATCATGAATTCAAGAATAGAACACTACTATATTTTGAGCACGATAAACCATACTCGCGGGAGATTTGCAGAAAACGAAAGGGCTTTATAAATCACGATCCCAATTTGAGTGAGTGAAATTTTTTCTTGCATTCGACTCATTTTAAGGGTCAAAGTAGCAACCATCTTGGCTTGAAAAAAAAAGAGGAAACTTGAACTGAAGGAGGTAATTTGTGTCGTTTCAGCTTTTTTCGGCCAGGTTGAGAAGGCCGTGCAAACTTTGCATTGATGGCTCCTGCCGTCATAAAATCTGTCTAACAATTGCGGTTTTAGTTTTTCGATTCTTTAATCTGTATGACGGAGTCGTCCGACGAGGAAATTCATAAACAATCTTCTGCTATTCTGACCTACCTGTCCTGGGAACCGCAGGCACGTGGTCACACCACTCATTGTCGCGGACACCAGATGATTCAAGTCCCCGTATGTAGGATTGCTCAACTTGAGGGTTCTGAAGCAGATGTCATACAGAGCCTCGTTGTCGATGCAGTAAGTTTCGTCAGTGTTTTCAACGAGTTGATGCACTGACAGTGTAGCGTTGTACGGCTCAACAACGGTGTCAGAGACCTGAGCAAGGTACACAAAGAGAAAATTAAAATTTTGACAACCCAAAGGTGGGTCAGCTCAAAGGTGTAGACTCTCGCAGGCTGACATCCAGGTTGAAAAGTGACTTTGTCAATCAAATGAAACTATAATTTCAAAAGTCTTCTTTAGAATTATGAAACACTTTATATCAAAAGTCACCTTTTCTAGCCAAGGGCTAATATTTTGAACTGAAATTAACAGAGACGACCAATAAACAGTAAATCAGCGATTAAAGCTTGAAGCAACAAGGCTTCTAATTAAGGCTTCATATGTTACACGGTCGTCGTGTACCTTCGGAGAGGGTACCACACTGAACGAGTTCATGATCCTGTCTGGGTACTCCTCGCGTATCTTGGAAATGAGCAGAGTGCCCATGCCTGATCCAGTTCCCCCTCCTAATGAGTGAGTCAGCTGAAAACCTTGAACGCAGTCGCAGTTTTCGGTTTCTTTGCGGACTACGTCCAAAACTGAGTCCACTAGCTCGGCCCCCTCAGTATAATGGCCCTTGGCCCAGTTGTTTCCTGCGCCACTTTGGCCTGCGGGGAAATGGGAACAGGTGGAAGACATTTCAGTACAAACTAAATATCAGCTTAAGTTCCTTAAGCTAGTTAATTATTCTTATCTTTAGAAATTTTCGAGACGCCGACAGAAACATTAAATCTAAATTTGGCTGCTTGTCAATTAAACCTTTGCTCACGAATACGATGAAATCAAAATAAACTCTGATTTATCAATTATTTAAATAAAGGATATGACATGTAAATACGAGAAAAAAAAAAATTCAAAATGAGAACATGTTCTAAGCTTACCAAAAACAAAATTATCAGGACGGAACAACTGCCCATAGGAACCAGATCGTACAGAATCCATAGTGCCTGGTTCCAGGTCAACAAGAATTGCTCTGGGAACATATTTTCCTCCTGGAGAGTAAATAAGTTTAAAATATAAGACTGGCTAAGTACACCTGCTGGGCTAATGGACGCGTGTTTTTAGTAATAGACAAAATAGCCTTGCATTCACCAGTGATATTTCGATAGAATTTCGATTTACATTCTTAATTCAGTCCTAAATGCATGTTTTGCTTTTCATTTTTGATTTCTATCACAATACTTTGACAGTAATTTCAAGCTGTGGGGAATTCCGAACAAAAAAAATAGTTCGACGATCTAAAAAGTTTCCCTTTTTTCAGTGTTATATCGCTATGGGAAATTTTCGCACAAATTGCTTTAACATGCACAAGGCTTACGATTCATGCTTAATGGATCAATTTTTGAGTCTTCGCGTTTTATGCAAATAACGTCATATGAAAAAAGGGAAAATTTGATCTGAAATGATGAAAATCTAGTGATATTTTCCTCCACCCGTTTTCAGCTTTGTTAGCATGAGTTTTATAAAACAGGTCATAAAAACTTGACCTGGGGGAAGTCGAAGAAAAATAACATCGTGCAAACCCAGTTAAATTGAAACAGCTTTCTTTATTGGATAGCGATGACAGGAGCGGAAATGTACTTCGTGAAGTTTCAAACGTCAAATCATCTCAATGCAACGCGACGAAAAAAACATTAATTATTTCAATTTCGAGGCCGCAGACAAATTAAAGAGCTCAGGCAATTTTAGCACCTCTAACATAAAACCTTTTTGGCATCACAAAATACTTATCAGCAATTTTTTTATTGCTTTATTCATACCTGTAGCTTCGTTGTAGTAAACGTCGATTTTGTCGAGTTGTGTCTGTGCATCGCCATGGTAGGAACCAGTTGGATCGACGCCATGTTCATCTGAAATGACTTCCCAAAACTGAGAGATAATGAAAGTATTTTAAAGTAACAACAAACAATAAATCGTGTTTGTTGAAACTAAAGTGAAACGTTTTATTCTTGTTGGTGTAATTATCTTTCGAAACTAAAGTAACTGGAGCAATTTTGCCAAACCATAACAGTGGGACTATAAACATGGTTATTGAAATTAAAGTGAAATATTTCATTCAATCGCCTCGCAAAAATCAAAGAAACCATCTTAATTGAAGCTTAACCGAAACTGTAAAAAACATGTTGATATTAAATTGCATCTTTTCATTCAAATGTCTCACGAGCGTTATTGATCCGTCGGTATAAATTATAACATATGATGTTGTTTGCTTTTTTCATATAAAACATTTCGAGAATTTATATGTAAACATAGCTAAAAGGATGTACTTCATCGTAAAGAAAACCCAGCTTTCCAAAATGCGAGAAGTTAAAATCGATAACAATAGCGTAGCAAGAAATATTGTGTCTTCGCTCCCGTGGGTACAACAAATAGACAGAATTGAAAATCTCGTAGCATTATTATTTTATGGGTGTGGTAAAAAAAAAAATTGCTTCGCAGAAAAAAACAAACTAGCTTAAATGGAGTGGAATATTACCAGAAAGACAGGCGAAGATGTAAAAGAAGATGGGTTAGGGAAGATCGGCATGGATATTAAATTTCTTCTCGATTTCTAGTAGATTTTAAAGGTTTAATGAACCTGCGACAAGTTAAAGTAGTGACGCGATATGTACGCGTGTGTGAAGAAAGCCATTAAAATACAACCGATTGCTTTGCATTGATAATTTGAATAAAAAGTCAGTTTTTGAATACAGCGTTCCAACGATTAAAATCCCGTCAAAGGAGAAAGACAAATCGTAAAGGAATGTATAAATCAGTCTTAAAGGAATGACATCATTCACAGTTAAAACTACGAACGGCAATGGAAAATATAGCGCTTGAGTTTTTAGTTAGAATATTCATGGCTGAAATAGAGCTGAGTGAAATGTATCGCCAATTTTTCCCCAGATTATTTCGCAAAGAACAAAAGAAATACAAAATCAGGGTTTTACCTTCGCACCGATCTGATTTCCACATTGTCCAGCCTGTAAATGGACTATTTCTCGCATGGTGTATCTAGTCAGAGGTGCTTGTTCTAACCCGCACGTACTTTCACTTGAAAGTCTGGCTAACGATGGGCGTTGGTCAATGAAGCTAAGATATCACTTTTGTCTGACTAGGTCCTTAGGTGCACGTTGTTATGAAACGAAAGAGTACCTTAAAAATCTATACTTTAATTTAGTTTACTTTTCTTTAACAGTTAGCAATATTTCAAATTATAGAGGATTAATCTGTATACATAGTCTTCCGTAATAAGCTTTTATAATAAATTGTTAATGCCTGATGTATTTACAGTGTTTTTAAATAACGATGATGATGATGATGATGATGATGATGATGATGATGATGATAATGATGTTACAGGAAATCAAACCCCGGGGGGGGGGTACTCCCTTATATGGCCTATATAGGTTATGTGCGGCCCCAAAGGGTAGGGTTTTTTTAACCATTTTGGGCATAAATAGGGTATCGATTTTAGCCATTTTGGTCTTAAATAGGGTATGGTTTTAGCACTCTAGTCTTGAATTGAGTATGTTTCTTAGAGGAACAAAA